CCAAAACATTCACTCACTTACTGGAGCCTTTTTCATCCTTTATATCTTCCGAAACATTTTGTTCCTAAATACTTATTATGTTTTCCTTTCAGAACAAGATACCACACAGTGATGTGAGAGAAGTATATAAAAGTTTCAGATTATGAAATAGTTTAACTGTAATTAATCAGTCTGACAGTCAGATGGTCATTAAATATAAAGACGGATAGATAAAATAATCACTCTCTGTGGGGTCTTGAATGAAGTTTTCAGGGCATTTAATAATGAATGGATCTACAGCAAAACGAAACAGGTTTCTTGAATCTCCGCCTAACTGCGTTGGACTTACAGAACTTTGTCGACCCTAATATGGAGTGATTTATTTTTCATTATTTTATAATTTCCAAAATGCACTATACAGTACCGAAACTCAGTAAATTGAAACAACATAGTTAAATGACAATATCCTATTGACATTGCCAGGCTGCTCGTTTTTTATACTGATGTGGCACCAACTACCACGAGTGAGATTTTTCGTAATTTCGTTTGGTTCCTCGCTTCAAATTCTGTAACAATACTTCAAATAGGACATTTCTACCGATTACATCATACAGTTACTTATTCGGCGCCAATTTGTATAACCTGAGCTGTTGATTCATGAGACAGCCAAATAACGCAGCTCATCGTGTTGCGGTCTGTTCCGAGAATGTGGTCCGAGGTGGTCGATAACAAAGGTCTGAAGCTGTCCTCCAGGCGCCACGTCTGTAATACATTGACGCATCGCCAGATTTCGCCCCATTCTGTTCTCCATTATCCACCCTCCTTTCAAAACAAACGAAGGCTAAATAACAACGTGGAATGAGACTAAAAAGAATCATAATATCAATACAACTTCTAGTTAGCATAGGTTTAAATGAAACGCTAAGAAATCAAAATAAAAACGAAACTAGGCTATGCAATTTAAATTTTCAGGAGTGTAGTTTTTATAGCAATTTACATTTTCAACTGTATCACACTATTATATAGTTACTTAACAAACAAAGAGCGATTGTAGAGGCGTAATAAGGAAAGAGCTCTTTGCCATCTAATGCTCAATAGCAATGAAACTCTGGGGGTCGTCAAGGAAGGTAAAGACAGTTCAAGCGTATTGAAATATCCCTGTTCGCATTTATGGAGTCATTATTTTATAACGCAGTTCTGAAATATTTAACTCGCCTTCATGACGCTGACGTGTGTTCTGCTAATTGCATAATAAAGCATTCCGTTTACTTTAAAATCGTTACAATTTGCTTATAGATATAAATGTTCTTTTTTGCTGAAGTAGACCAGGGAATATTTTGTGTAGTTACTGAGACTTCATTCTGATTTGTGTGATGCGTTCGGAAGTGAAGTTTGTTGCTGTTGGACAACATTTCTTATTTGGGTCTTATGGGACTATTGGTGAGAGACGCGTTTTCAGCTCTTCATAGAATTGTAGAATTTGTTCCGTAACTTTATTATACTGATAGGTATTGACTGCTATTGTTTTTTAACCCCCGCATGTCCTCGTCTCTAGGGCACATGTGACCCTTTATTTGTGTCACATTTTGTGGCTGCTTACTTTCACTTATCGACTCTCACTCCTGTCTTATAGCAACCCACTCGTTGCGAATAATTCTCGGAACCATTATCGATAACTTCTTTGGAGCTCAGGAGTTCGTTCATAAGTACGGGAACAAACCGTGTAGACGTGTTCCGTAGAGTGCGTCCTGACACCTGGAATTCTCCCCGTGTGCTGTCGTAAATGTGGATGGTTTGACTATTCGGAGACCAAGTATCGCGTTCAACCGGAGACGTATTTCGAAACTGTCTGTTATTTACATAAAAAATGCGTGAACTTTTCGGGGCTTCTTATTCTAAACGCTGACTGCATAGTCGAAAGAAATTTCTTGTCCTGAAGTGACAGCCCACATATTCATTTAACTAATCAAGACATTTCCTGTTGATGTTGAATTTGATCACAAAACCTCGAAGCCTCAAAGCCTATGCAGTCTTGTATATGCTTACCGACGTTTCAGAGGTGCTTGCTGCCCCAATCATCAGGGCATCTGCCCTCTGAAATGTCAGTAAACGTCTACCAGGCTACACAGCGCAAACAACCCAGAAGACGACCCCTTTATTGACAAAACAGGTCTCATACTGATAAGACACAAGAGATACGCTTAATGCACATAGGATATTTAAACTGTTTAACATAACTAATATATTCAGTATCGACGAATTAATTGGCACACCATCGTTAAACAATTTATGCATCAATCAATCAAACAAGCATTACTTATCCCCCCAATCGGCGGCAAAATCTTGTATGGTTTACACAGTCGGTGAATATTACTACAGTGTAAACGTCATCACTGTACAACTATCGAATTCTTCTATCGATTCTGGTCTTGTGGGATTTAACGCCGTTGGATTTGTAGGCAGATGACCACCTTTGAGCGAACGGAGGTGTACATTTTTTAAAACGTCACTAAAGAAACTCGTCAAATGATTACATGAGGAAGAGATTAAATGCATACATCGCTGAACGCGGTGTAAATTTACAAGACCTAATATAACAGTTTTTGTTTGTTTTATGATTCCATTATAATTAATTCTTGACAAATAGAACATGTGTCAGGAATGGGTTGCGTGACTTTTAGATCAACCTGTACAGGCAGGTTATCAGCAATGCTTTGCCGTGAGATATTAGAACACCTTTTAGTGTACTGCCACATGAAAGACGATTGACAGATAGTATGGTATGTAACTTTCGCTTGATATGTAAATTTTACAAGAGGCTTGTTCTTGAAGCTAGCAGGCTCAGATGTTACGTGCTTTACATAAGGCTTATTTATCGTTTGAATGCCCATTATCTTGACACTTAAGTACATAACAAGTGTTGCTAGTTTCCAAGTTATGAACTGTAAATAGAACAAGGACTCTCTTAAGTTAGACCGGTCTATTACCTCAACGGTATTTCCACTAGAGTTTGTTGCACTCAATTGCCTGTTGCTTCCTGGTAGTTACATTTTGCCCATTTAGGATGAGTTTACAGACCTCTGCCTGTCCATTGCTGCTACAGCAACTATTAACCGCTTTAACCGGAAATTATTTGAATTGCCACAACTAATTGCTAGTTGGGACAGGTATACAAAGGGAGAGCAACTTAGACTCCCAATGTTGTGAAATTTCCATCATCGTAACTCTGTTATAGTGACGGACAGCACTTTCGTCGGTCGAGGGCCAACTTGAAACCTTCAGCATTCCGTCCGATTCGAAGGATAAATACTGCATTTATATCTTTGTAAGATTTGAGGTTTTCACAGAGGCGAGTCTGAAGATTTCTGTCTTCTGGGTTGTTGCGCTGTGTAGTCTGGTCGATGTTAACCAACGTTTCAGAGGTCATACTGCCTCCGTCATCAGAGTATGAAGATTTCTGTCTTGTGGGTTGTTGCGCTGTGTAGACTGGTCGATGTTAACCAACGATCCAGAGGTCATACTGCCTCCATGATCAGGGCGATGAATATGAAGATTTCTGTCTTCGGGTTGTTGCGCTGTGTAGACTGGTCGATGTTAACCAACGATCCAGAGCTGCCTCCATCATCAGGGCGATGAGTATGAAGATTTCTGTCTTCTGGGTTGTTGCGCCGTGTAGTCTGGTCGATGTTAACCAACGTTTCAGAGGTCATACTGCCTCCGCCATCAGGGCGATGAATTCATCATATATGAAACTTATAATTTTTAAAAAAAGTTTTTGATACACCACTCGCGATAACCTGTTTTGTGAAATTTGGTAAAATTCCACTTAAACCTATAATTCTTCAGTATTCTGCATACAAATCTACAGCTCCCATTTGAATCTAAGGAACACAAAGCAATGGCTTCGTGAGTGTTTTGTTTTCCCTGATTTATTTTCCTTTCTTTCCAATTTTAAGACTGGAAACTTCCTTTGAATTTTAATAACTCATTTGTCTTTTATTATTACCTGCTTGTTTCTTACATTCTTTGTTCCCATTTTTCTTGTCTAAAACATACTTAAAGAAAAGACACATTTCTCACTGTTCGCCATTGCTTTATTGGCTTTTCTTTATTACCATGTTCCTGCCTGTTCTGAAAGTTTTGTTCTCGCATCGAACGGAAATACACAGATTTCTTAATTCATGGCCTCCGGCCCGCGCGAAAGGACCGAATAGATGAGTGTAATGATGAAAATTAAAATGGCGAGCTCCATTATTTGTAAAGTGACAAGGATTGACGTCACTGCTGCAGATAGTCATTGATCACTAACATTTTCTTGTAATGCATAGATTATTCCAAATAGATATGTACACACTATAATATGGATATATTAATCTTGTTATTTATCTCAGTGTGTTTTAGTTACAAAACATCGATCTTAGTAAAACGTTTGGTCTCTGTAAGTCAATTGAATAATCATTGAAATGTTTGTTCGCATTGTGTATTTTAATCTCGCACCCATTACACGGAACAAATTAACTAGCCTGTCGGATGTTCCAACTCAGAGGGAACGGACATTGTTACTGACAGAATAATTACTGTATGTCAGATGCGAGAATACTTTTCATTTGTGACGTCAGTCCCTGATTCGATGCAGCCGTTGGTCGTTTGCGCAGTTTTATTGCAATCCGTGGGAATCGACGTACTTGGAAATTTCCGTGGCCGGTCATGGAGATTTGTCATTTCTTGTTCATAAGAGCTTTGTTAAAACTTGTGTCTTAGCAGTACACGCAAACGCAAGCATTTTAAAGGAATTAATAAGTTGATGGAAAGCATGCGTCTGGAATATGATACGGATGGAGGATAATATTAAAATTCTTATTGGGAAAAGGTTTATGTTATAAACTAGATCGAACATGTTCAGAATCGTATTCGTCTGACTTCAGTATTAATGGACTTGATTCTTAGGATACTGTTAAGTAAATAATTACTTAGCTAATTAAATTTTTTTTCTTTAATTGATATTTTGGAATTGTTCTCAGGTGTGCACTGCCATCAGTTTGGGATCTTGATTCTGACAGTCCTGAGGGAGAGACCAGCAAAATAAGGAAAAGAACAAGAGGGAAGGAAAAAGTGAAGTTGGAGGACTTGAAAGGTAGAGATTTGGTTGGCTTTAATAAATTTCTTGTAATCCTGGGGTCTCGGGTTCGATTCCCGGCGGTGCCCGAATTTATAACTTGTGTTGGGCAAGGCCGTGGTCTAGGCAACCCGGAGTTTTCCTCCGGGGGCTTCCCCGGTTTCTCTGTGGCATCCCAACAATTACTCCATTCACACACAGAAGAAGGCAATGGCAAACCACTTCTGGATCATCTGCCAAGTACGTATATGAACAGGTCCCAGTCCGAGAAAAGGATAGAAGGATCCTATTCATATGGACCTGTCGTCAGACAGAACACTGAATAAATAATAAAATAATAATTGTGGACATTGCAGTTTATCGAAGTATTTATGTTTTGTGGCCTGCAAACAGGCAGAAGGGAAGAACCAATACTTACGTGCTACACACTGACTTCGCTAAAAAGTACATAACGAAATATTACCTGAAGCGTGTTTAAATTGTTGTTAATATTTCATGACTTTTTAAGAGTTTTTTATGACAGCATTTTATACGTTTTTACCATTTGACATGGCTGATAGCCCTCGAGGATCTTATTAATTTCATTCGCCGTGAAATATCATACATTACACTTTCATTGCACTAAGCATATTAACCGATAGTCCTGCTGGAGTGATCTGGTGATAGACTAACTAGAAGGGAAATATTTTCAGTACGATGTCAACAAATTACCTGAAGACGGAAGCACAGGTAACTCCCAATACGTCGTTTACATAAAATATTCCTGAGACAATAGTCTATGTGCAATATAGTGTTTCTATAATGAATCAATGTAGATAATTAATATTGGTTCTTACCTAGTAAAACCGAGTTTAGTGAACTTGATGCATATACGTTTTTCGGCTCCATGCTTATGCGTGATATCACTTTGTGTTGGTCAATAGATCGTTCGTTCCAGCATCACTATCTAATTACTGCATCAATCTATCATGCGCCCTTCTGTCTCTTACTCGCTATGACAAAGTTAGTAACTTAATCATACCAGCACAAACATCGTACGTCCTGCGTGGAGGAACTTAACACTTTCTATGTTTCGACCGATATATATCGCCTTCGATCGGTTCTTCTTCACTGTTTGCCTCTGATGTGTGGCATTATGAGCGATAATAAACCTCTCCCGCTATTTATTGATTGCTTACGCTAATTGCAATATCCCACGAAAGGTCAAAAAGTTACGTATTCTATTATAGAAATGTTATATGTATGAATGTAACAAGACTTATTTTCTGATATTGGGACACGGATTTGCCACGGTGGTCTAGCGGTTAGAACACTGGCCTTGTAATCCTGGGGTCTCGGGTTCGATTCCCGGCGGTGCCCGAATTTATAACTTGTGTTGGGCAAGGCCGTGGTCTAGGCAACACGGAGTTTTCCTCCGGGGGCTTCCCCGGTTTCTCCGTGGCATCCCAACAATTACTCCATTCACACACAGAAGAAGGCAATGGCAAACCACTTCTGGATCATCTGCCAAGAACGTATATGAACAGGTCCCAGTCCGAGAAAAGGATGGAAGGATCCTGTTCATATGGACCTGTCGTCAGACAGAACACTTAAAAAAAAAAAGGAGGAGGAGGAGGAGGACACGAACTGGTGTACTGTATTTAAAATTACTCATTTTTTTTCCTTTTTTGTCTGACGCTGAAGTCTTAGGATATTATTTGTACATGTATTAAATTACTTTATTTCGAACTGATTTGTTATAGGCCTTGTTTGTGTGCGAAGTATATGGAGTGAATGTGAGCATAATGGAAAACATTAGGTTGTTAATACATGAACCAACAGTTGTGAACTTCAGATTAAAAGTCTGGAAGTTGTAAACTACTAACAACATGGAACTAAAAATAATTGTCCTTGTGTGTCTGTCCCCTTTAAATCAGAGTTCGTCTTCGGCTTTGATAAAGTGCAAAGTCGGTGACCAATTGGACATAAAATGTCACGCTGCTTCTAATCTTTGTGCTTGATTACAACTTTATTTTAAGGGATTCACGGATTGCCCACAGTTTTATTGTTCTGGCAATAGCCTCTCCCACGTTCATGGTAACTATATTTTTCATTGATGTAACTCGCTTCACTTAGTGGATTTCATCTTCTCCAAGATCATCTTGTGGTTGAAGTTCCTCACATACTTAGGTATCATATTTCTTGTTATAGTTTATATTTTCCAGAAGACTTATAAAGACACAGGGATCTTCGTGTATAATCGAAAATGGATATCCTCCGGTTTGTGGTATCGTGTAGTGTGGTAGACGTTTAGCGACGTTTCAGTAGTACTTGGTGCATCCATCATCGATCTCATGATTGTGGCAGCAAGTACTTCTGAAACGTCGGTAAATTTCTTGCACCCTACACGGTGCTACGACCTAGAATATAGCCATCATATTTCCTGTTTAATAAAACGTTATTAGAATTTTCAACAAATTTTACGTAGTGAGCAAAGTTTCTGTTTGCTTCAAGATAATTATTGGCCCACGTTTCTATTCCTTTGTATTATTAAAGTTTTAAAGTCCAGTTAGCTTCTAGTGATTATGAACATTCAACGTTGGCTAGGAGCTGCCGCAGTTGAAAATGTGAGAACAAATTGGCGAGGAGAATATTTGGAGTTGCGAGAGAGAAATTAAAACGGAACGGGGAAAATTAAACCACGAGGAGCTGGCACATTTCACGTAGTATTATTACGATTATTCTAAGATCCGGTGGACGGGACATGTAGCAAGCATGTAGGAACAAGAAATAAAAACAATAATTGTTCGGAATACCGTCTACGAAGCGAGAGTTTGTAGATGAGAGGATATGTTTAATATTAAATAAAACAGGAATGTCTTATGAAGATTAGAATTGAATTGAAATACCTTAGTTTATTTTGTAGGTTCGATAACATCAGGCGAATTGTTGTTATCTGTTTAAGGAAGTTCGTGCTTAATGCTGATTTGAGACACTATTCCATATTTTGAAAAAAAATTCACTGAAAGAATTCGACAGAGATGCTTAAAATGTCTGACTTCGTATCAGCCTGTGTGGATGGTAGAGTAATGGGTAGTTTTTGTTGCGTCCATTAAAGATCGGGCAAAGTAATAGAAGTGCTATAATTTATCCATCTCCTGGGTCGTAAAAACGCAGCTCCTACTTATAAACTTCATAGTGCTTTGGGAGGGTGTATGTCATACAGCCTTCTCAGATTACGAGCAAAGCAAAGGGCGAGACACTTCTTGGTCACGGAACTGAACAAAGAACACGTCATCCACGAATATTGGTGGTATTTGAGGTTCTCACGGCGGCATATTGGTGTTCTGGGTTGTAACGCCTTGTGAACTGTTAGTAGATACTAACGTTCGGAGGAATAGACTGTCTCGATCTTCAAGATGTTACGACCAAGGAACGCCACATCGACAATACGGATTATTCCAAGTTTTAGCAAAATCGAAGATAGGGACTGTAATATGGTAATTGAAATAAAAACGAAGTCTTTCCGCTTCTGTGCCCTTCTATCACAAATAAAGCGAAAGGCGAACTTAATTTTGCGTTTATTAATTAAATGTTTTAGAATATGCCGCTTCGTACTGCACACAGTACGATTGGAGATTTATTGGGACGATTGAAATAGTAAAATCATTAGCGCTGTCTGTGCAGACTAATCTAATTTCCACTCACGACGCGGCTAGGATGGGACTGGATCTACAGAATGCGCAGGTTAGACTGTAAGTCGCGCCTCAGCGCAGTGGAGGGACGGACTCCGCGCGCGTCAGTGTGCGTCGTGACGCCCGCCAGACAAGAAGGCTTCTCGTTTGGTCCCTAGAACTATCGCCAGGAACACTTGTCCTTCGGGCGGCGTTTTAGTGGAGAACTGAGTTATTTGAAGGTAAAGGGAACTGTTTGTCTTTGTTAATAATTCACCATATCAACGTAAAAGTAGTTTAACTGTTGTTTCACATCGGTGTCAGACTTGATCTGAGTGATGTTGTTTGGAAAGATCACTGAGAAGACCCGGGCACACGTATAATAATAATATTAAAAATTATGTTAAAACAATCGGGTGGTGGGTGTGAAATGGATTTGACACAGGGTAAGGAACAGCTGTTGTGAACGCTGTAATGAACTTCAGGATTTCATAAAAGATAAGGAAATTGTCGTTTACCTGAGAGACTTTTAGTTTCTCAAGATAGGCTCTCTTGAATGGACTTTGTAAATATTGTGAATTAAAAATTGTCGCTTGAACTGGGTAGTAAATGAGATGTGTCACAATGTTGGGGTATTGTTGCCTTCTGTTATGTTTTAACGGAATTATGATTTGATCTTCGTGACAAAATATATTCATATAAGTGAGGTATATCAGACTCCTTGTCTGTAGGCAACACGCCGTTCTCTCTGATGTTTAATGCGGAGCGACTCAGTTATCGAATTATGCACGACGCGCGGTCCCAAATTTACCAGTTTTAATAAATTTTAAGTTTTGACATGCATGTGGCATTACTGCTTCTACAGATTACTTTATATTTCAACTAAATTAATTATACGTGCATGTCAATGAAATTCACATTTATACGAGTTTGTGGGTCGAAAAATATATCTTAAACTTGAGCCTGGGATTAGTCAAATTAGGCGGAAATTATTTTCATTACATTTATAACGGCTTCATGGAACTATCACCTCTTTCAACTAGCTATTAATAGACATGAGTTTGGCAAATTCCTGTAAATTATTGGTTTATGCTTCGAAAGTTATGTCCAAGAAATTTATACAACGGAATTTCGTGCAAATAAAATGGTGAATACAAACGTTTTCCTTCTGGGAGAGACACCAGAAAAGTGCGTCTTTAATGTACGTAACCTGGCTTGTTTTTGACAAGTGGTGCACCGTAAAATTTACAATAGGCTAACGCGCATTGCTATTCTAACCTAACTTGAAATAATAACCGACTAATGCGACCAGATCCAACGAAACCACAGCAGACAAGCCCATACTTACCTTACGCACGGTAACGT